GCTGGCCCTTCCCCGCCCACCCTCGGCCCAGCGCGCCGCGGGCGGGGGTGGAGAGGGCTCCTGGGCGCGCGGCTCATTTTGGGGGGGAAGACCGTTGGATTTTCAGCAGCGCAGGGAAACATATGTCATCGTATTTTTTTCGGCTGCATGAGCAGATGCGGTTTTTCTGTTTCAGCTGAACGTGTAGACATGGAAAGCGTTGCTCTTGGCATCTAGAAGTCGCCGTGGATTTTTGTGCATTTCAGAGCTGGCTGGCTGGTGTATAGAACAGGTGGCTCCACCCCTTACAGCCCACATTTGAGGGCTCGCCAGACAAGGTGCTTCTAGCAGTCAGATTTATTCCGGGGATGCACGAGGCCGGGGGGGTCCCCGTGCGGGAGCCCCCTGCTCGGGTGAAGGGATGTGTGTCAAGTGGCAAGTTTGTTACAGGTGTCGGGACGCTTGCACGGAGTCGCCAGCAGAGGCAGCCTTGGGAGCAGCCTGGCTTCCAACCAGGTGTTACGGTTTGTATTTCTGAGGCACTGGTGATGCGTTCTAGCAGGTTATTATTGTTTTATTTTAAACAATAAGGTTTACAGTTTTGGAAAGTGAGCCATTGTAAGGTCCAGTTGGACATGGACGTATGGAGGTTTAGAGCTTTGTAAGACGAACCAGTGTAAACTCCAGGAGGACTAAGCCTTGTTCAATCCCGCAATCCCTTGCCTCGAATGCTTACGGTGCGCTTATTAGTTATTTGTAAGAACGGTTTCAAGCTTCATCTAAAGACAATTTAGTGTCAAAATGTACTAGTATTTGTCTGTCCTGTGACCGTTGAAGTTTAACTGGATTTTTAAAACTCCTTCTTTGTGTGAATAGCCAAATTCGGTTAGCATCTACGTTTGAATTTTGCCATGTTTAAGACCATATGGGTAATTCTCCCCAACTCTTAATATAAGTTTATTTCATGTCCCAGCTTACAAGTTTTCCAGTCCCACTGGTAATCACACTTATTTCAGTTAAACTCTGACACGCGATTTTTAAAAGTACGGTTCATGTTTAAAAGAAAATTCGAAGTTACTCCAGAGGTAATAGTGGTTTTGGTTAATAAGTGACATATTAACTCGCTTCAAAGTTGACTTGTTATGGTTGATCTGATTATAATGTATTTTGTTACAGGGAAAGGTAAAAAATAAAGCATGTAGAATTGTCTAGGATTTTTAAATGACTCAAAATATATGTTACAGCTACATATTTTTAACTATATGGGTTTCCTCCGTATATAAAGATATCAGTATGTAAGAATATAAGTTTGACAACCAGGGTGGTTGTGAAATCAGGGGCTTGGAAGAGTCAGTGCCTTTCTGCCTTTAAACTTAATGTTTTCTTGAAAGAAATCAAGGATAACTGCATCACATTTCATTTATTTTTTGCACTATGATATTTCCTGTTCTTATTTTTTGATATGTAAGTTTTCTGAGTCAGTATTAACCTCTTTTCAGTCGCTTTGTTTAACAAAATTATATGGGTGTGGTTCAGTCATTTGCGTGCTTTCTCCTTGCCTCCTTTTTTTTTTATCATTTTAATACCTCTTCACCATCCTCGCTACATATTACCCAAAAGACTTATTTTCACAAAACTACAGTAAGCTGTAGTTTATTCTTCCTGCTTCTCTAGCCTACTTGGATTCTTTCTAGATGGGGAGGAAATAATACTTTTAAGCAAAAGCTGCTAAGATTGGAGGAACCTACAGTAGGAGGGCACTTATGAAAAATATGATTCCTTGAAATAAAGCAAAAATTTCCCTCAAGAAATACAGACAATTACATTTTACACATCTTAAATTTGTAATCGAGGATAATGAGCAGTTAATTTACATTGTTCTTTCTTGCACACTTTAAACTTCTCAAAAGAGCCCTCCCATATGGTTTCAGCAAACTCTTTTTACTTTGTTGTAGATAATAAATACTTATTTGTTCATTTGACAAATAGAAGTTGAACCTTTAGACTGCTGGTCCACTTGGCCTTGAGATAAGTGAAGTATGAGCCGGTTCCTAATCTCAGAATGGAAGAGGCATTTTTCTGTGTGTATCCTGCATGTAAATGTGCCATGCCTCTGTGGTTCCATGGCTCACAACCTGTCTGTCTGGTGAGCCCCCAGAACCCCTCTCCAAATGCACCACTGGAATGCAATTCTAAGACCTGGATTTACTCTGTCCTATTTTTCTGTATCTTAAGTTTTTATTGCAGAAACCTCTCTCTCTTCCTTGCTAAATGTTATTTACTGTCCTTTTTATCCTGGCATAATTTTTTTATTCCAGTTCATTTCACCCCAGCCCATATATTTGTTGTTTACCTCCAGTAGGATTCACTCCGTTCACACATGTTGGAACCAAAATTGTTATAGTTGCAGAAAAAGTGTAGAAAATTTGTATAATCTTGAATTTCAAATGTGGGGAACTGATGATTAAAGAGTAATTGTTGTGCATTACTCTCCCCTCAACAGTGGGGTAGAATGCCTTTGTTTCTGCACATACCAGAGACTATGAGTTGTCTGCTCATAAATTTGATCAGAAGCTTAATTGAGAGAAATAATGTTTCTAGAGGGTTGGCTGAACAAAGGCCGTGACATCCACCTTTCCTGGGTATTAGACCAGGAGTCTAGCCTATCTTCAGAAACGACATGCTTTGGTTACCTTGTTTTGCATCCTTTGCGGCCCCCGACCCCCACTCTTGTGTTCACTCTGAGAGATTCTATTAATAAAGACAGTTACAAGAAACCTACTATTATGTTAGGAGATCAGGTTATTAAATCATGGTCCCTTCTACAGCTCCCGTTTGAAGACCAATGCATGGAATTCCATTCAGTTCTAAATGCCAAAGAAAAGCTTTATTTTCACTGAACAATTAGTATGTCTATTTTTCATCATGCAGAATGAGAATCATTTCCCTTTCTCATTTGACAATGAGGAAACACTGAGTCAAATTTGCAACTCAGTTTTAATAACCCTTTAAAAACCTCTGACCTTAATATTGATATTCTAACTTTCCCTTTGATCTTGAGCTTCTGTTCTACCTTGTTTTTGTTGATTCTGATTTTTATCTAATTATATTTTTCTATTTTTAAGCTGGTTCACATCCTTTGTGGGACAAAATATAAAACCAAATAAATGAAAATATTTGCTAAATTGATCTCTGGGCACAATATGTTTTTGATTAACAATTTAATCAGTTCCATTAAATATGCTTTGAACAAGTATTGCAAGTTTAGTATGAATGAGCTTATATAGCCACATGGGAAACAATGTTATATAGTTTTGCAAAACTAACTTTTTAGCACTTATTTTTTAACTTAAATTTATGTCCATTTATCACTAATTTAACATTGGTAAAAGCATTCACTTTAAGTCATGGGCACGTACCTGGGTTGCAGGTTCATCCCTGGCCCAGTTGGGGCATGTGTGGGAGACTGCCAGCGATGTGTGTCTCGGTGTTTCTCTCTGGCCCCCACCCCATCCCTCCTTCCCACTCTTTCTAAAAATCAATGGAAAAAATGTCCTCAGGTGAGGATTCATGAAAAAAAGAAAGAAATAGAAACTATGAAATGTTGACCCTGACAGATGATACGATCCACCTGGAGAGAGTGGCCCTCAGTATGTGAATGAGGTATTTTTAATTCCAAGTCCAGTAACCAGATGGTGTCCACGGTGCGCAGCTTTATCGCAGAGGGCCTGTCATGAGGTAATTTGCTGTTGACTGATTAACAGAGGATTCACAGACGAAGAATTGAATAGTGTTTGTTCAGCACAGTTCCCGTGGAATCCTCTGGTGGATGACTCTGATCGCTAACCTGCTATGTTGCGTAGAATAGGAAAAACGCGAGATGACGCCATAGGTGTGAGAAATCTCAAGATCTTTCATTTTCTTCCTATAATTCCGACCTCACTGAGCAAACCAGACATGTTGTACCAGGAATGGAGGTGCCCTGAGTAGCAGTAATGGATATTCTAGCCACTGGGTGAGTGCAGCCCCTGCTGTACAGTATAAAGCACAGTTTCAGGCTATTCGTCTGTTGGAACAGCCTGCTCAGGCCTTATGGTCCCAGGTGCTTAGAGCTGAGCCTGGTGGTTACCCCAAGGTCCTGCCCACCTACAGGCTCCCACTGATACAGCTCGTTAGCAGCCCAATGTTACCTTGAATCACAGCACCTTCCAAAGTAGTTCCAATTTAACATGCCTTAACGCTTTAAAAAGCGTTCAAGGAAGAATTTAGTCCAG